TATGTATATATATATATGTATATATATATATATATATATATATATTATTTATTAATATTTTTCAACGTTCGTAAAGTGATATTTTTTCAATGGAATTATTAATGGAATTATAGGAATTGCTGAATAATGTTGCTCCTTTTATAAATATGCAGCAAAATGTTAACATTAATATTACTAAAAAATTAATGTTTACCATCTGGGTGTTAGCAAAGCCAGAGAGTTTTTTAGCTGCCAGTGACAGATTTGGTTTGCCGAAGAGCACAGGGCATAAAATATTTAGAAACATTACACATTCTCTGGTACAATTAATGCCTCAGTACATAAAATGGCCAAATGCAGCACAAAAGCAATTATCTTGTAATGTATGTTTCTTAATTAAATGCTTCTGTGTACATGTGTATGTTAATGCAATTGATTAAAATTGTTATTTTTTAAGATATTATTCCTAAATTCTAGATATTTGAGGCTCGATCACGTGGATTCCCGGGAGTAATTGGTGCTATAGATGGTTGTCACATTCCTTGCAAACAACCGATAGGGAATGCAAATGATTTTTATAATAGAAAAAGTTTCCATTCAATTATATTACAAGGTAAATTTTGTATATATACAAATAACTTTTGACTTTAATATTTTAAATGCAATATTTTAAAATTAAAAAATGTTAATATTTATTATAGGGGTATGCGACCATAGAGGATTATTTATTGATTGTTTCATTGGTATGCCGGGTCGCATGCATGATGCACGAGTATTTCGAAATAGTCCGTTATTTCACCAAATATCAAATGCAGAAAGACCTCTAATTCCAGAGAATATGCACTTAATAGGAGATTCTGCATACCCTTTATTATATAATGTAATGACACCAGTTAGAGATAATGGGCATTTAACATTTTCTCAAAGAGTATACAATACAAAATTAAGTTCCATAAGATCGATTATTGAAAGGGCATTTGGATTATTAAAAAATAAATTTAGAAGGTTAAAATATTTAGATATTTCGGATTTTAATTTGGGAAATGATATGATAGCAGCAGCATGCGTATTGCATAATTTTATAATAATTCATGATGGCATAAATGTGGAAGAGGAAGATGATTTTTTTAACGAAGCAAATATAGAAATTGATGATATTGTACATGAGGAAGGTTTGCAAGCTGTACAAAAACGTACACAAATTATAGAATTATTTTAAATACATATATATTTAATACATAAATGTACATATGTATTGTACAAAATAAATATGTTTTATTAAAATATAAACCAAATACATGTTCATATATATTTCCTTGAAACATGTATGTAACTTTATATATATATTTTATATATAAAATAATTTAATATATATATATTTTATATATGAAACAACAGAACATTTTATATCTCTTAGTTTTCTTTGCATATATTATTATATTTCTATACTTGAACACAAGTGTTTACTGTTTTGCGTGCGATACTAAATTCCGCAAAATATCATTTCTTTCACGTTGTATTTTATTATGTTCTTCTATAGTCTCAGTTAATTTATTTATCGCTTCCACTCTTTTTTCTTCACAGTCTAATAATTTTTTTCGTAAATCGTACATAACTTTTGATTTGGCAGCTTTTTGTGTTTTAGTCTTCATGTTATCCTGGCTCGATGTATCATTACTCGTACTATCGTAACATACTAACTGCTGCCTAAGAATTGTACTTTTAATAGAGTATTTCTTTTTACCATAATCATAGTTAACTGTACCAAAATTTAATCGCGCACAATTTTGAAGCCAATCAAAAACATATAAATTACCTTGCACAAACGTTTTTACACACCTGTTTGACTGTTCGTTTTCTGTGATTTGTTCAGCAAATTCCATTTCTGAGCAAGCAGAACTTATATTTTGATCTCCGCAAGTCGACGTAGATGGGGTCAAACTGTTATGTTCCTCATTAACTGCGTTGTTATTTATTGCCATAGAAGATATTGTTGGACCTATGTGTACAGTACGATCTTCTCTATATATTTCTTCCATGAGGTCGTACCATTCCCAATTAATACGTCCACGACCAGTACTCGTTTTTTTATTATTGTCTAAAATATTCCTATAAGATTTTTTTAAGTTTCGCATCTTGCGGTCCAGAGTGTCTTCGTTAACAATATAATTATTTTTTTCGAATTCATCAACAATTTCTGTCCATAAGAGCTTTTTTTAATTTTTGGATCACGAAATTTAGTTTTTCTTTCATGATACTTTTCTAAAAGAAGCTTGGTACTTTGCCTCGTCCAACTGAATGATTCTATTATGGGATCTGCACCATAAAAATATTTTATTTCGTATATATAATTAAAATATGTGTGTGTAAATCGTTATGAGTATATGGTATATACATACCATTATTTTCTTTCTCCATCACACCTACTACTTCACTTGAAGTTATATTGGTGGCGAAATATTTATTAAAAAATTCGGGATCTGTGAATAACCAAATATTATATATATATAATTTATAAATTATTGTACGTATGTGCAGGAATTTATACATACACATAAAAATAAGAATATGAATATTCACTTAAAATATTTAAAATAGCATTACATTTTTATATAGACATATATTACATGAATATATCTTATGTGTAAAATAGATTAAAATTATATACAGATATATATTTTTATAATTTTACATACCATTTTGTAGTTTGTCATGTATATCGCTTGTTGCAGTGATGCAATAGGTCATATTATTATAATTATAATACATTTCCATTTCTTGTTGCATTGTGTCAGGGTTATGTTTCTCTGGATTTACAACGTGTTGTACGATTGTAGCGTACTTTTAATATGATGGATAAAATGGCGACCGCTCAGCAAACATGTTGTAAGAGCGTAAGCCGCTATGTGGCGTTCAGCAGAAAATCTTACAACAGTTGCGTCGCTACTTTCTCTGCTGAACGCGACCAATGAGATGCGGTGTAGTATACGCACCGCGGATATAAACACGCCAGGTAGGCGGCGCGGGGCGCGTGGTCGGTTTGTTGTGACGGCGCGTGGTTCACAAAAACGCGTGAGTCGATTTAAACCGGCGAGACAGTTTCTTATGCGTATACGGTCCGCGATAATATTTACGTCTGCCACGGGCGGGGCGCATATTCCCAGATGTTGTGGGATGCGTGCGATATCGAGAAATCTCGAACGGGCAGCGAACTCGCTGTCCCTTGCTCGCACGCGGAGTCCGGATTGACCAACGGTGTTGAGAAAACTCAACGGGGTGGCGAACTCGCCAGCCCACGG